ACTACATTGCAACACCACAGCAACCACATAGCAACACCATAGCAACCACATAGGAACTACTTAGCAAAACCCTAGCAACTACATTGCAACACCACAGCAACCACATAGCAACACCATAGCAACCACATAGGAACTACATAGCAAAACCCTAGCAACTACATTGCAACACCATCGCAACCACATAGCAACACTACAGCAACGTAGCACTCCATAGAGACTCATAGCAACACATTAACAACCACAGTAGAATCTCCTGGCTAACACTCCGCTAGTGCATAGCAACATCTTGTCAATCACCCAGAACACCCTATACTAGCACCTGAAGGAAAATCAGTTAGAGCAGCCTAGCAACAGCACAGCGCAACCACAGTCATCACTGGGAATACCTTAGCAACCACATGGCAACAGTATCCTTGCAACATTGTAGCAACCATTTAGAACACCATGGCAACGCTACAGTAGAACACTGCAACAACACATGGCAACACCTTGGGGGAGAGGAAGCCCCTAGCGACGGTTGTCAGGTGTCGTGTGCATCTTCTCTGCAGGCGCTGCTGTATGAAGAGGCCGTCACTCCACAGAAGACTCCAGATGACGCACATCACTTCCTCTGGGACCTGATTGAGAGCAGGTGCTCCGTGACCCCTGACCCCCAGTGCATCGCAGAGCAGCTCAGATACCAGCAGACGCTCCAGAACATTAGCCGGTACACACACACACACACACACACACACACACACACACACACACACACACACACACACGTATACACAGAGCAGCTCAGATACCAGCAGACACTCCAGAACATCAGCCGGTACACACACACACACACACACACATGCGCACACACACACACACACACACACACACACACACACACACACACAGAGCAGCTCAGATACTAGCAGAAGCTCCAGAACATCAGCCGGTACTCTCTCTCACACACACACACACACTCACTCACACACACACACAGAGCAGATTTTCTGGCGGTGCCACTGGTGTGGTTTGATCCAGGACTGCAATACCTAGTTCATCCACTGGGTGTCAAACTTACACACAGTGTGTTTTGAAGAGTGGTGGTCATATACTAGCTGAAAGATCTCACACACACCATTCACAATGGTTAACAGAAGTGTGTGTCTGTGTTTACTGTTGACGCAATGACACACACACACACACACACCTAGTGTTAGTATATCAGAACAATGAGTGTTGCTCAGTAGAGTTCAGTGTCAAATTCTGCATATTCAAACACTCTTAGACCTGTGATCACTGTCTGACTACTGGACATGACTGCACAAACGGCTTCATCCCATTAATAATGACCTGTGTGTGTGTGTGTGTGTCAGTGTGGTGTGTGTGGTTCCTGCCGCTCTGCTGCTCAGGGTTCAGACTGGCGGATCAGCTCTGGACTGCAGGAGGATGATCAAACACATCACTGATGTGCAGGTCTGCCTCTTCATCATCATCATCATCATCATTGTCAACCCAGTGACCGCTACAGCACAACACCTGAACTAAACCTGATATTTTATATGTTTCTCTGTTTATTAACATTTATTGAATATTTTCACCAACATATTAGTGTGTGTGTGTGTGTGTGTGTGTACACTGTGACTGTAGAGCCTCTTATAGAGAATATGACTGTAGGAGAGAGATCTGAGATCAACACTGCATCACCAGCACATGCTTATATGCTTTACAATGATATTACAATGCATTACAGTGTGTGTGTGTGTGTGTGTGTGTGTGTTTCAGATGAGGACGTGTGTTCCTGATGCTCTGCTGTCCTGCAAGCTGACCGCACTCTTCCTCAAAGTACGTCAATTTCAGGCCCTCCGCATCTGTGTGATCAGTAACAGTGCACTCAATCAGGACACTGTGTGTGTGTGTGTGTGTGTGTGTGTGTGTGTGTGTGTGTGTGTGTGTTTCAGGCCATAGTGAGCGGCAGTGTGAGCTGTAGATCTCCGGCTGACGCAGTGAACGAGTGTGTGTGTGTGTTCAGCACTCGGTGTCCTCTGCTGCTCCTGTCCGCCATGGTAACACACCCCTCATCTGCATGTGCTGTCTGGATTATGGCTTAACTCTGCCTAACGGGGACGCCAAGGCCAGATACACTTAGCAGATGCAGATAAACCTGCGCGTCTGTTTATTACTCTGCTGTACCTGAGCACTGACACAATAACCGTGTGTTCTGAGCAGTGAAACACACACATTGAACGCTGTGTCTGTGTGTGTCTGTGTGTGTGTGTGTGTGTCTGTCTGTGTGTGTGTGTGTCTGTCTGTGTGTGTGTAGCGCTGGTGGCCGCGTGTGTCCTCTGTGCTGGTGTGTCAGTGGAGGCGTCTCACCGCTGGAGAACCACTGCCTGATCAGCTGCAGATGCTGGAGGACACACACCGCTGGAGCTCACGGTACAACACACACACACACACACACACACACACACACACACACACACACTCATGCACACCACTGGAGCTCACGGTACAACACACACAAACAAAACCTGGTGTGTGTGTGTGTGTGCAGTGTGTGTGGCGGTCTGTCCTCCTCGGCTCCAGCGGCTCCATCATGGCTGCTGGCTGCGGCTCTACAGGCTTCACTGCAGCACTCGGACCCCACAGCGGCTCTCGCTCAGCTCGACCACACACACACACAGGTGAGTCTGTCAGGTGATACGTGCACACACACACACACACGCTGAGGTGGGTCTGTCAGTTGACCAATCGGCAATCATCTCTCTGCAGGTGCTGCTCTACCTGTTCCTCTACAGTATAATAGAGCTGATCTCTGCACACCTCAGCCAACAGGTAACACACACACACACACACACACACACAGAGCCTCAGTGATCATGCTGCTGTAGTGTTGATGTGTGTGTGTGTGTGTGTGTTTGCAGGAGTGTGTGGAGCGTGTCAGAGGCGTGTGCGTGTGTCTCCTCACTCGTCTTCAGGGTCATTCTGATTGGCTGCTGCTGTTCGATCAGTGTGGATCAGGTGTGTGTGTGTGTGTGTGTTAGACTGGTCATGTGATGATGATGATGATGAGGATGTTCTTCTTCTGTGGTAGATCATGAGCTGTGTGAGTTCAGGACGCGTGTGATTTCCCATCATGCCCTGCGTCTGCTGCCGCTGGCCTTCTACAGGTGAGGAGCCGCCGCTGCGTCAGTGCCCACACTCCTGTCCTGCTGTGCTGAGAGTGTGTGTGTGTGTGTGTGTGTGTGTGTGTGTGTGTGTGCGCAGTGTTCTGTGTGCGGTGGACTCACAGCTCCTCCAGGGATTGGTCAGTTCTCCAGGATTCCTCCACAGCGCCGGCGTCTCCTACAGGAAGCTGAGTGAGCTGTACCTGAGTGCTAAGAGCGCAGGCCGGCCGCAGGTGTGTGTGTGTGTGTGTGTGCGTCTCTCTGGTGTCTCCTGTATCTCATGTCTGTCTAGAGTGTTGTGTTCGTCTCACGTGTGCTCAAGTCTGTCTCCTGTGCTCGACGTCTGCCTCATCTGTCTAGTGTGTGTCAGATCTGTTACGTGTCATCTGTGTGTCCTGTATGTCTCGTGTGCGTCTCATATCTGTCTCGTGCGGTTCATATCTGTCTTATGTCTCCATGTCTTGTGTGTCTCATGTCTTGTGTGTGTGTGTCTTATGTCTCTTCCGAGTCTCATATCTGTCTCATGTCTCCTTGTCTTGTCTCATGCCTCTTCTGAGTCTCGTGTGTGTCTCATGTCTGTCTCATGTCTTTTGTGTCTCTTGTCTCTTCTGAGTCGTGTTTCATATCTGTCTTATGTCTCCTTCATGTCTTGTGTCTCATGTGTCTTCTGAGTCTTGTGTCTCCTGTCTGTCTCATGTCTCTTCCGAGTCGTGTGTTTCTCATATTTGCCTCTTGTCTCCTTCGTGTCTTATGTCTCTTTCCGAGTCTCGTGTGTGTCTCATGTCTCTTCCGAGTCTCGTGTGTGTCTCATGTCTCTTCCGAGTCTCGTGTGTGTCTCATGTCTCTCATTTCTCTTCTGAGTCTCGTGTGTGTCTTATGTCTCTTCCGAGTCTCGTGTGTGTCTCATGTCTCTTCTGAGTCTCGTGTGTGTCTCATGTCTCTTCTGAGTCTCGTGTGTGTCTCATGTCTCTTCCGAGTCTCGTGTGTGTGTCTCATGTCTCTCATTTCTCTTCTGAGTCTCGTGTGTGTCTTATGTCTCTTCCGAGTCTCGTGTGTGTCTCATGTCTCTTCTGAGTCTCGTGTGTGTCTCATGTCTCTTCTGAGTCTCGTGTGTGTCTCATGTCTCTTCCGAGTCTCGTGTGTGTCTCATGTCTCTTCCGAGTCTCGTGTGTGTCTCATGTCTCTTCCGAGTCTCGTGTGTGTCTCATGTCTCTTCCGAGTCTCGTGTGTGTCTCATGTCTCTTCCGAGTCTCGTGTGTGTTTCATGTCTCTTCCGAGTCTCGTGTGTGTCTCATGTCTCTTCTGAGTCTCATGTGTGTTTCATGTCTCTTCCGAGTCTCGTGTGTGTCTCATGTCTCTTCTGAGTCTCGTGTGTGTTTCATGTCTCTTCTGAGTCTCATGTGTGTTTCATGTCTCTTCCGAGTCTCGTGTGTGTCTCCTTCGTGTCCTGTGTGTGTCTCATGTCTCTTGCGAGTGTCGTGTGTCTTTTATCAGTCTCCTGTCTCCTCCTTGTCTCATGTCTTGGGTCTGTCTTGTCATGTCTCTTCTGTGTCTCGTGTATATCTCAAAACCGTCTCATGTCTCCTTGTCTCATGTCTTCTTTGTTTCATGTCTGTCATGTCTCCTTCGTGTCTCGTATGTCTCATGTCTCTCTTGTGTTCTTTGTCTTGTGTGTCTCGTGTCGTGTGTCTCTCATGTGTCTCCTTACTGTCTCAAGTCTCCTCTGTTTCTTGTGTGTCTCATATCTCCATCGTGTCTCCATGTCTTGTCTCGTGTCTCTCATATGTGTCTCATGTCTGTCGTGTGTGTCTCCTCCGTGTCTCCTTTGTATCTTATATCTGTCTTACTGTGTCT